GCAAATTTAACGAGGAGTGTGGTTTTCCTCGAAAGAAAACCGGCACTGTGCTCCTAGTTGAATGTCTATAAACATTTGTGCATCACTGACTACTTAAGTGTCACAACTTCGGTTTTGTTCCGTACTGTGAAGGATTTTACCCTGGCTATATAAGTATAACGCAGTTTCGCTAACTCTTAATAGATCTTGTTTAGTGAGACGAACTTCATGCCTAGGTGCATCGAAATTTTTCCCGAAAGAATGAAAATTAGACGTTACGCGCATTTCATCTTACTTCCTAACGCTCCTTCAAAGTGTAGGACTGAGACCTTAAAAGCAGGCTCATACTTCTGATCCGGTGCTGCTTACTAAGATCATGCTGCAAACCACAAAACAGTGTTCTCGTTCCATTTTAAGAGAAAAAATAGGAAAAAAACGAGGGAGATCGAGATCTTTCGCTAGCTTCTGCGACTACATATTTCCGTATCTTACTCTCCGTGGCATGAATCCTTGGCAAGCAGCCTAGAAAGTGCTTGTTTAATATCTAGGGCCTGTTTCCTGCGTCTGTAATTAGCGTGGAGAGTGCGCAAATGACAAGGACTCAAACACATATTTCACATTGACAATTAAATTGTACGAACATGCGTCTGGAACAAGCTGGAACACTGTTAGGCCTTATTATACCTTTTTGCAACGAAACATCGAAAGTACCCGCATCTTCTAAAACTACGTTCTACTAGTTAAGATGAAGTCCTTGAGCTTTTCATTCATTCATCCATTTTATGCTGTTTCACAGCATAGGAGGCGTTGCGCGTGGGCGCCTGTTGCAACATGGCTCCCTTGGCAAATAAACACTTGCACGTACGCACCAGCAGCAGTCGTCCGTCTGATGTACTGAGGCCGTGTATGCTACCCCCCTCCCGCCTGACCTATCCCTGAAACCGAGAGGCCCTGCCTGTTGTTCGACCAATCGCAACCACCCAAAGTAGCCAATCAACTTCAAGACTGGCACAGACATGTCCTCTCTCAAGGCGCTCTGGCGCTTGCCCCGATGGCAGGCGGGAGCCTGTCCTGGCGCCGCCGGCCCTGCAGACTTGCTGTATTAGTTACAGAATGTAATACCATCGCCACTGGAGTCTAGCATCTCCTCATTCTACCCAGGTGCAGTGGCTAAGGTATGCCCATAGATCAAACTGTCTCGACGAAAGCACACCCAATAGCACCCGAACCTCTCCCACACCTTATCGTAAATCTCTTCAAAGGATGCTTTGAAAGGAAAAAAGGAAACGCTCTAGAAGTGACGAAATGTCAGATGAATACTGAACGAGAGGTTCAGTCTTCAGTGGGAGGAAGACACCCGTTTAAACAAGATATGGGGAGTCGCGTTGACATGCTGGGGAACCGTGCCGATCAGCGGTGTTCTGTTAATTAGGATAAAATATAGTCACAAGACATCATCGACGAGGCTCTGCCTGTCGTGCAAACATAAAATGCCGAGACCTGGTAGTCCCCGTGGCTCTTCGGTCAGTGATATTAGAAGGACGCGAGAGAGCCACATGCACGAACTCCGCGGCGTGCTATAGCGGGGATGATTCGCCAGTAAGTGATAGCCATGCACCCGCGAAAATGAAAAGACATGGGCGGGAAAAGCACTCCAGCCGCCTAACTTAATCTTCAGTGACTGTGGCATGACACAAAGGCAGCACGACTAAACTCTCTTCTCGCGGACATTGACACTTCAATCTAGTCAGTACATCCATTGTTATCCTGAACGGTTTCCGTCTCTCTAGTAGTCACTAAAGTGGAAATTGCAAGACAGTTATCGGTATGCCATAGACAGGGTCGGACTGCACGTGTTACCGCAGGGAAATAAGGCCCCGTTTCGACATACATGCAATAACACATTCCTTGGATTTTGGCTCGTGTTCTCACTCCACCAACACGATGACCATTTAGCGATAGTGATTTCCATCAATCACTGAACTTATTCAGTCGGAACAACGACTCATTGGTGCACGTTATCTGCAATGAGCAGAAAAGGTCGAGTTCTTTCTCATCTATGATGAAGATTTTCATCCATTTCTAACAGTAGGATCAGTATGTTCCGTACTATGGCTCCCCTGCGTACGTGCCTGTTCAAATGACATTTGCTCTCTTCGTCTCCGGCCTGGGATTTACTAATTGCCTTTCGTACTAAACATGTCTTCACATACATATTATCCGTCGCCGACTGCCTAGTTGTTGACGCCTGGAAATTCGCCTTTTGCATAAGGGTTGTGATGAACCCATAACTTCTTAAGGGCTTTACACTAATAGAAATTGACACCTCGCCCTCAGCGCCGCATGAGTTTTACGTCGGTCGATTGCGTCGGTTTCTCCGTGCTTTTAACGAGGTCGCGCAGGATGACGCACTACGTCGCACGGGGTTTTCACGCAGCCTTTACGTTTGCCCCCCGGAAAGTTATTTCCTCTCACTTTAAAAACTCACGAACGGGAATGCTCTAAGTGCCTGCAGGATTCTGCAGTCGAGGTCCTCCGTACTACCCGCAACACATGACCTGGGTTGGGAGCTGACGTGAGGCAAATTTGACTGTTTGACATGTGGTACGATTTGCGAATTTTACGACGTCAATCAAACGACGACGGAAGTTTACCACCCTTAAGGCTTCTTGCCAGGGCTAGTGACTTAAATAAAGTTCACTGTATGAGATATTTGGGTGGCAGAGACCGAGAGAGCAGTGAAGAAATTATCTGTCAAGTCATATCACCGAATCTCTGTTTTACTTGGTAACTCTACATTGTAACCAGTCAAGACTGTGAAAGTGTGCCAAATAGCAAACTTGAAGAAAACTGCGACGAACGCTTTTCAGTGCCCGTGTTTTTGTTGCCAAGTTAGCAATAAATGACAACATCTGGGTCTCCGACTACTCGACTTTGTCCGCATTGGTTACCACCACCATGCTGGAGCTAACCAGACGGTTCGCGCTGATCTAAGACACGACTGTAAATGTGTAAATAACCACTTTAGCCTCGTTTCACTTTTGAATTTGTAAGAATAATTAGCAGTCCTGTACTGCATGTGAAATACACTGAAGTTATATGAGAATGCACGCTAAGGAAACCATGAGATTTTCTTGCAATATATCTAGGAAGGTAGTATAGATGCAGAGCCTCAAAAAGGTAGGAGGGAGAGTTGCTAAAAACCGGAGTTATATACACTTAGCCCTTCTATGTGGGAGCAAAATCCCCACATTTTACTGTTTCATTTGAGCGCCGCCAATGGGTGCGCCATGTGTTAAAGGTCCTGTTTTGTTGAAATCTGGATATCTAGATACCCTCTTCAGGATATTTCCATTTCTGTAATCTTCTGCGCGCATAACTAACACTCGGCACCTGAAATGTGGACCCTGGTAAATTTCAAAGTTCGAGTAAGCGCAGACCCCACCACTTGGGATGTAATATTTTGTTGTCGCGAGGTGGACCATCACAACAGTACTTGACTTTTTCAGAAGACCTATGAATAGACGCCGCGTCATAAATGTTTCGGCTTCTTAATGGCGAGTAGGGAAGGTGAACGCACCAGCAGTCTCATTAGTAGCAACTGTTGGATTACGTGCTGGTCCGCAAGGGTGGTCGTTACAAACATGAAGTGTGATGCTGAATGCTTAACCAAGTGTGGCAGTTTTTCTCCGCCTCCGTCAGCGCGGCCGCTTACTCATGTCGTCTTCAGTCCGCTACACATTCTTTGCTTATCGATAGCATGAACCGAGTGGGACTTGGCACCAGCGTAATAACACTGCTCGAGACTAATCGACATTGCGTCCTTCGCTGATTGGATGCGGGCAGACAAAACCGAGGCTAACGCACACGCGCTTTTCGGCGAGGCCGCCATTTCAATGGCTTCCAATCGCCCCAAGTTAAGGTTTGTTGCAACTGCCTGTCGAACTGCATGTACACTCGTTTCAGTAACGTTTGTCCAATCTATCTGTGCATGTGTCTATATAAAATAATAAAGGGCGCTCACCGATCGCACTACGGAACTCACTCGTCCCGTTGTGCCTTGGGGCTCTCTCTCGAGCCCCGCCAGCAGCCGCAGAGCGGCGCGTGGTATAGGCCGAATAGCACTGCCGGCAAAGGTAATGGAGACTGGAATGGCCATTTCAGGCTTGTTAGTCGTCGTCAGCCTGTCACACCCGACCCTGAGGTGTGCAACACCTGGGGATCGATCCCACGACCTGTTGGTTAGCAGTCCAACATATATGTACAGAACGTGACCTGGCTCATAAAACCTGATGACAGAAACTGATGTGAGAATTTTAGGACGCCCTAAACGTTGCGCATTTTGCTTGTCCACCCAGCCCCTTTCATCTTGTTCAGAAATTAAGTCCACGTAACTTTTGCAAACACAGTGTTCATAAATTTGTGCAGTCAAGCATCTGCAAGCACCCAATTCAGGAATGGAATGAGCAAAAAATAACACTTTCAGCAAAATATCATTATTCATATGACAACTCTGCCATGCATTCATAATCGAAGAACGGAGTCTAAAGGTCAGCAAAAACAGTGTAAATGGCCGCAATATAAAGAGAAAGGCATGGTCTTACGTTTACGGTAGGAAGAATGTTAGTTTGTTTAGTAACGTGAGAGAAACGGCCAAAAGTGTCAAATTTTCTTATAGCCTCACTCTGTAAAAAATTAAAGTGTGCAGACATCCGACAACCAAATGCAGTAATAAAAGACTCCTTAAAGAGGTAACTTATTAGAGAAATGTTCTAATTGATTGAAGATATATTCGTTGTAGACTTTCGTAGCGGAAGTCAATTTTTTGATGATGAGGGTTCCTATTTTAGTGGGTATCCACATATTGCTCAAGCGACGTCCTCAATGAAGAAACGCCCAAGCACTTGCTACTTCGGTAAGTACCTCTAAGAAGTACCTTATTTTAAAGTTTTTAACAGGTGCATAATATCGAATCTGCCTATATTGGCGATAGGATGAAAACACCGGAAATCGTGAAGTATTTATTGATAATTCAAGACCAGTCTGAAACCCATCGTAATCCTGAACAAACAAAAAGCACAAATTAATTTCACCGAAGGAAAGTTCTCTTTATAAACACAAAATGGTATGTTTACGATTACACATGTCAATTCTATTTTAATTTATTAGACATCGATCGGCCCGGCAGAATGTGACCTTATGAAAACGTTTGCTCCTGTAACGTCCCTGTAAGTAAAATCAAGCAAAATCCTGTTTTTTAGAACCGCATCTCAATCAATTCAGAAGCATAAAGAATAAGACGAATCCTTGGGATAGTTTTTCGGAATCTATACTTTAAATGTAGGTTGTTGGCAAGCCGCCATATCTGAAATAACACTAATTCTGAAAGGATATTTACTTTTTGCACGGGAAGACATCCTGTACATCTAAAAGTGAAGTTTACACAGTTACAACCATCTTTGACATTTTCGGGATTTTGTGTTTTTCTAGAAAATTAACATTTCTAAGCAACGCAACATTGCCTCTTATATTTCTTTTATGTTTTTAATTCTTCTAAAGTTGACATAGATGTTGACTCCACGGATTGATGTTGGTTTGCGAGTGATTGGCAATCATTCGTAAATTTCGACATCTTTCTTCTGTTAGGTCACGTACTGTATGACCACATGTTTGCCTATATGTCCCATATGTCCTCTCAGTCTTATGATTTGGGAATCCTCGCGTTTTAGATGCATCACATTTCCGACATGACCACCGTCTGCTCCTACTGAAAATGAAGCCCTGCACCGACCACGGATACGGTTTCGGGAAATAAGGTAGAAAAACCTGGACAGAATCGCACTGAACATGGCTGAAAGCAAGCAGGAACTGTGTAAGAAAATGAAAACATCCGGGAAGAGGAAGAACTTGAGCAGATACTGTTAGATACCACTCACGTCCTGCTACCGATATCCTCCAAACTGTTGGTTGAAAACACCAGGTCTGCTTTGATAACGGTTACAAGATGCTATGGCCGGCAGAGTCTGCCCCACAAATACGGATCTACCTGTTTTCGGCTTGATCTTCCAGTGTGCACAAATCGATTCAGCTTCGTCACAGTCACAAGTCCATCTGATTTGATAACGTCCCTAGCGTCTGCCGAGGAGAATGGCATTTTTAAGGGTTGAAATGTGTTTTTGCTGAATAAGTTGTCATCAGTAACAACTGGAGTGTTGATAACCTGATAAGTAGCACTCACAGGCCGAAATATTCCTTAACTGAACCAACTACACCAATCTTTCAACCTTTAATAATTCCTAGAGGGGCAACGGCAGGTTGTGTAACACCACTTCGCAACCAGTGACCTCAGACTCGTGTACTACGGGAATAATGACAATAGGGGTTTTGCGGTGGGGTATCACCGCGAGGGGCAGTGAAATGCATAAAATAACACTAAGAAAATAGATCTATCTCCGCCGAAATTCTTCTTCTGCGCCTATATATGGACACGGAAGCGATCGCGTCAACTAAAAAATGAACAAAAAGCAAGCCTCAATGAAGAAAAGGTAATTGAATAATCCGTCACCCGCAAATTTGCGACAGCCTAGGAACCAGTGAAACAAACAACCAATAGGATAGAAGAACGGTAAGCGCCAAACATAACTGAAAATTTACTGCAAGGTGGCGCAATCCATATGAATATTAGAGAAGCTGGGGCAATGCACCCTAATAAACAAGGAAGAAACCAAATAACATAAGTATGAATACGTTTCTATCTACATAATAAGTAAGCTGACTACTGTAAAACTAAAATTTAAGGAAAACAAATATTTATGTACAAAGGTTATGTAAAACAATGAAGGGCATTTATGGACAGAATAAGCAATAATGGTTGCTTATTTCCTTATAAAATACACAACATCAGTTCCAGGTCGCATAAACGTCAAAGAGTTTCAGCTTGATGTTCTCATGAAAGCGGAGGAAATAACCAAAGCTATAAACTAGGAGAAGGTGGTAGAATACCGCCAGACAAAGACACTGCTAGTAGCGCAGCAAAATGTCAGTGTGTTATGCTGCACACCGACAGATATGTTTTCCGATGCGGCCAATGTCGAAAGAGGAAGGCTCTGAGGGTCTAGGTGTCGGGTCAAATAATACCGGCCCACGTAGATGGGGTTCAATATCGTCTGGGGTTTGGGCTAGACAGCGTAGGCTTGTAGCAAGCGTGGAAATATTCCCGTCCCATATTGCGGTGCAACAGCTTCCCGCATAGGGGGGCCGAATGACTCCTTCCTGAACTTAGTTCGACGACCATTTGCAAGTAAATTTTGTAAGCAAACTCAACGAAATCTAACTATCTTATTACAGGCTAGAGAGGGACTACGCACAAGTACACTTGAAGAAGTAAGCTGTGGCGTACGCGTTTGACAGTAGAAACCGTTTGGAGTTATCATGGAAGTTGAGTGTTTGTGTCCTCACCGAGTCAAAGTAAACCAAAACGCAGTCTACGACCCTAGAACAGACATTGTATGGTGAGTACAGACACGGCACACGCCTGACAACAGACATCGTTTAGAGCTGTCGTGGAAGCTGAGCAGTTCTGCTCTGAGGCAAAGTACTTCAAAACGCAGCTGACTATTCTTACAGCAGCGTTGTATGGTGAGCACCGACAAGACACAAGAATGCATAGCGACCTTTCTTAGAAAATGAATTACTTAGAGGGGGAGGCAAAAGCCGAAGGCTGCCTCATGCCAGCTAGTGATTCACTGAAAAGATTATGCTGGAACGACTTGGTTCACGTGGTTATGTCAGCGTGCTAGGCAAAACTCAGAGGGTGACATCCTGTATTCATGAACTGGTAAGGTAAACAAGGCTTACTAAGACAAATATAGTAGTTAGTCACACGCATATGGCCTTATGGCGTTACACAAACTACCATTACACCTAGAGGAATGCAAATGTTGGATTTTGGGAGGTTAGATTTCCGTTTCGTGTAAAATTGACCTTAGCGGCAGATTAGTCACATGACTTAATAGATCGAAAATCATGGTATGCAGCCACAATACAGTTCATAAATCGACTGCAAGAAGCAAGGATTTTGAATGTGGAGGAGCCAAACACCTCAGGTGAAGACAAGAGTATTGTGGTGTCTGCGAACCACTATAATGTATACACTTTTAAGTGTTACTTGGTACCGGAGCTTTCAAGTTCTATGATTCCCAGGATCATAAAATGCTCCCTACTATTTGTGTTTACCAATCTTCGACAAAAACGCCGTTGACGCAGAACAACAAGGTACTACGAGAACATGGGGTTGGGGATCACACTAAATGAACGAATAAGCGCAAGTCTAAACCGGTTTTTTGCATATAAAGCACAGAAGTCAGTCATATGTGGAAATATCCAAAGCAACAGGAAATATTTTGGGACAATACAGCAGCGAATGTGTGGTGTTTAAACAAGGCAACTTCAACAAATATACGGTCCTGGGACGAAACGGGAACTACAACGCAACAGAGTGGTGAGTGGGTGCGGTTTGCCCCGGGGTCAGCAACAGATAACCTTAGGACCCTGTCTAACGGGAATGGTAATAATAGGGGTTCTACGGGTGGGGCCTTCGGACGCACAAAAAGACAATCGAGAAAATACTAATGAGAAAAAGTGTAAAATAACATCGAAAGTCTTCTAATGGGCTTAGATTGTAAACGGGAAGTAAGCGCACGAATTCTAAAACTAACCAAAAACAGTAGCCATGGCAAATCAGGCAACTGAATGAACCGCCGTGAACTGAATGACGGAAGCTGAGGTTCCAAGGGAAATAGCAGCCAGTCGAAATTGGCCGCGAGCAGTAATCAGACGTGCAAATAATGCAAGGTGAGAGCTATACCCGGAGACGCAATAACTGTGAACAGTTTACTAAAAATGCGAAACAAAGAACAAGACAGAAGAAGGGTAAGGTAAGCTAAGTGACAGCAAAGAAAGATTAAAAAGGAAAGACAAATTTAATAATATAAAGGGGCATGACTCACACATAGGTATGTAGGTAAATGTAATGGAAATAAGTCATGGTAAATATCGAGGATTTGGCATCAAAAACAAATTCCCATCCTGAATATTGAAGGACGTGAAGGCAGTCTGTCCATTTAGATATAAACATTAGTGTCTGTAAGTTAAAGGTCGCTGCAAAAGTTAGAAATACCGACAAACCGTAAACCATTTTCTGTTTTTAACGCACACCACCGTCTGAAAAAAACTGTAAGACGCAGAGGGACATACCAACGGAAGTTGAGGAGATAATGGAAATACTGAATTCCGATACTGTGGTGCACTATTGCCAAGACAAAGGTCTGCTGCCCAAAAGTTGGAAATGCAGATGTCGTTAAACAATGCGACAGCAAATTCTCAGGAAAAACACTGACGGTTTCGTCTTCAGATGTAACCGTTGTAGCAACAGGAAGGTACTGTGAACAGGTTCAATATTTGAAGGTAGCCACCTAACAATCAAAAAGGTTTGAATAATCTGCCGGTCATCCTTACAGAAGCCGGAGTGTGGAGATTTCAAAGGTAAGTGGGAGTGTGCCATGCGACGGCAGTGGAGTGGTACGCCATATGCCGAAATGTATGTCTCGCGACCCTCCTTAGCCAAACCGGACTGCTTGGTGATCCAGGAGTAGAAGTACAGATCGATGAGTCGCTGGTGAGCCGCCGGAAATACAGCGTCGGCAGGCAAAGGAGACAGTTATGGCAACTTGGGATGTGCGACAAAAGAAGGTTATAGTCGAGCAGGTGAACAATAGAACATGGCAAGCCCTTAGGCCGGTAATAACAAAGTGGGTGTCAAAGGGCAGTGGGATTGTAAAGGGTGAATGTAAAGCCTACTCACGCCTGCCGTCGGAGGACTATGAACGTTATATCGTAAAACAAAGTCGAAGTTTTTTGGGCAAAACCACAGGCCGCCATACCGATACAATTGAAGCGTATTGGAGCCGGTGAAAAGAAGATTACATGAAGGCGGCCCAGTGTGTAAAAGACTCAGTATTCGGAACATCGTTGATCGCGGACAGAACTTTCGCATGATATCTAAAATGTCCGAGTTGAGGAGCACGATAATGAGTCTATATAGGCATTTCTGCAGCGTCTAGTTCCCGAGGCGGTTGCCTGCAGGATCAATAGCACAGGCCGGTGAAGCACGCAGGTCAAGCCTAATTGGTACACGGGAGAAAAAGTAACCGAACAACGCCTACTTAAGTAAATGCAGTAGGCAGTCTTGAGTACTATTAGGCATATCCCGGGGAAAACCATACTCTTACCCAAAGTGGGTATACTGACCATCGATGACTGTCAAAATTAATTCGACTAGGAACTGATAATATCTATTATGCAGGTTTATATACTACGACAGTCGAAGCTACATATCAGTGGACCTCTCAGAAGAGACCATTCAGCAACCGTGAAATGCTTTCGGAAAAACGGAAAGCAGGGCAATATCAAATGGAAACGCCGTTAAAATTTGAAGCCGAAACAGATGTGAGATGCACATTTAACTAAAGACGGTGGCGGAACATTATTTGCGATTAAATAACCGTTAGGGAAGTTCTTTTTGACCAATATTCTTTCCTTATATTGCACAATTATTTTATTATACCATATGTATGTATATAATGGTGTCTTCCCAGTCAAAAAATTAACACGCTAAGTGGCAAGAGATGTCCTCCCGTCCCTCAACGTAAGTGTACAAAAACCAAGTGATAGCGAATCCGAAACCAGCGCACATAGTAAGGGCCCTAATGCCCAGATCAACCTCGACTATAAAGGGCAATAATCCAGCGTCCCATAAAGGAAACCATGTTCGAACTCTTTTTCATTGGACCTTTCGATGCTATAACAGCGGGTATCTATGTAAGGAAGAACTTGTATATTTAGACCAATTATTCCGGTCCTACTGATGCCCAGTACGTTTCGTGAAAAAGGGTCTCAGACGCTAGAGACAAGCAGAAAGTTTTAATTCTAAATGAGAAGTGGTGCAGTGGAGTGTTAGAAGGTTCAGTCCTGGCGAAATCAACCAGATGTGTGGGAGCAACCGCCCCACAGCCATAAATGATAACATAAAATAGGCGGGAGAGCTTCTCGAAGCCTGACACTCCAAAACAAACGGCACCATCCACCATGTCAAAATGGACACTCGTTATGAAGGTCTGCGTTCACGGCCCACTGACTTGCGCCCACCCTAAAACAACAGCGGCTATTCTATGCTCAGCCGTGTAGGGTCTCACTGACTCGACATTTCCTGGGCACGGCCAGTCACAAATGGAACTCACATCGCCTCCCCTCTCACTTCCGACATCTACCGTAGCACGTTTTTCACCACCTTTCATTGATGTCTGTCTGCCGATTCAACCCCTGTGCCCCAAGTCGCATTGCCGTCATGCATTTCATCTAATGACAGGCTGGTGTAAACAGCTTGAAAAGTCACAAATTACACTCGATTGTCCAACGGGTCTTCTACTCTTATTATATCACCTCGGAATGAACGAAATCTCAGTTATTCTATATATACATGTATTTGAAGGCAAACTCGTCCTTTGGGAAGGGTAAAAAACTTTATTAGGGAAATTTTCGACGCTGGTCTCCTGGGTCGTCGTCAGACTTGAAAAAATGTTCAACAAACAATTAACATTTCAAACCTTCTGAGAAACCAATATTCATTTGGTGCTTCAGTCATTAAGCGGCCGCAGTGCGCGTCAGTCTCTAGCGATGACAGTCAAAATTAACTCGAATGGGAACTGATAATATCTATTATGCGGGCTTTTACACTACGACAATCGAAGTTACATATGAGTGAAAATGTTGAAGAACAAAATAATCTTTATTGAGTAAATGTTAGGGACAGTTCCCCCAGCTTGTCGTCAGACTATGCGATGCACAAATCAATTAACCAATTAACCGTGTCTAAAAAAACATTCTACGATTGGCCACCGTCTGCGCCAATGCTGGTTAATTGCATCCCTTCGAGATTGGCAGTGTTAGTCTGAATTAGTCCTTTAGGACTTTCTATGTAGCATGTAAGTCGATACACTGATTGATGCATGCCTCATCTGAGTGCATTGGCTCCATGACTTCACGGCGTTCCCTTATTGAACAGGCGCCAACAATGCGAGTGTTCTCCCATGCAAATCCGTGTCCAGTGGCCAGTGTTTGTATGGCTACCTGAGATATGCGGTCTTGTCTCTCCATCGCTAACTGATGCTCACGTATACGAGTACAAAGGGCAGGCTGCCCGACCACCTTGTTGGGTCCTCTGTTGCAAGCAAGGCGCTCTTTAGCTGGCAGTGGAAACGCCCGACCATGCCGTTGGCAGATGGGTGGTAGGCCGTCGCCCGAGTGTGCATGTAGCCAGGAAAGGTGAGGAAAGTGTGCAGACTCAAATTGGGCATCTCAGTCAATAGAAACCATGAATGGGGCACCGAAAAAGCCGACCCAAAGACTAACAAAAGCCCTCTTCATGGTGTCCGCCTGCACGTTTGACAAAGGGATGGCTTCGGTCCAGCGGGTGTACCGATCAGCGCAGGTAAGGGAGTGTGGTCATTGGATGGGAGCAAGATGGGACATCCAGATGCACATGGCTAAGCCGTGCGTCATGACTGGAGAAGGGGCCTGGTTGGGCAACGTTGCGGTGCTGCACCTTGTTCCGCTGACAACTCAGACACGACCGTGCACAAGGTCTACACAAGGTCAGACGAAACTTTCCGCGAAGAACCTTTGTGAGGTTTAGATCTCAGGGTGGGAGAGTCCGGCTTGACTCATCAAAGCGGGCACACAGGGGCGATGAGAGGCGGTCGAGACGCCAGGAAGAACTGTGCCAGGGGAATGTCCACGAGCTGGAGACAATTAACCGACTCGTCGTAGCATAGGCACCGTAGCAGTACGGTTGATGCCATGTGAATGATGGAGTGCAGAGGGGGAGTTCTGGACAGCACGTCAGCCACAGCATTCATCGTATTATCGATGTGAAGGATATCGGTGGTTAATTTTGACATGTAGTGCAGGTGAGCGGTCACTCTTGGATTATACTTGTTAGGAGGAAATCGAAGGGCAAACGCCAACGACTTGTGGACTGAGAAATAAGTGAAGTCATAACCTTCAAGGAAATAAGTGAAATGCTTCACGGTAAAGTAGATGTCAAGTAGTTCACGACCAAAGGTACTTAAGCGGATCTCAGCTGGTAAGAGTTAAGAAAGGCCAATGCCGCCGTCAAACCACCAAAATGTTGCTGGAGAACTGCGCCATGAGCCACGGTCGAAGCGTCCACCACCAGATAGAAGGGAAGTTCGAGGACGCAATGCGTCAACAAGGCAAGCCTTGATTCCCTCAAAGGCAACCGATGCCTCGTCAGTAAACTTGATGGGACTCTTCGGACAGATAAGCATGTTGCTGAGCAGCAGCATAAGGTCAGCACAGTTCTGTCGGAACAGGCGGTAAAAGTTAACCATGTCAATGAATTGTTGAAACTGACACTTGGAAGTCGGTGGAGGGAAATTAGGAATGGCCTCAGCCTCGGGTCGCAGATGAGGCAAATCCTCGAAGTCGACATGATGGCTAAAGAATTTATAAGATGGCACGCCAAAAATATGCCCAGAAAGGTTGGTAACGACGCCACAATTTTTAACACGGTCAAACACCAATGCGAGGTGTACCTTATGTTTTTCCGCATTTCGACTCCCGACCAAGAGGTCATCCATGCAGGAGTACACAGACGTTAGGCTACGTGAGATATGGTCGATGAACCTTTGAGAAGTCTGGGCGACCGAGGAAAGGACGTTGGTTATTGGTTTCAGCTTACACTGTGAATCGGATAATCAGCCAACAAAGTGCAGTAATCCATAAAGGCGTTCATTGTCGGATGCTTTGACATTGGCAAGGGTGTCTTTGACATAAAGGCGCAATCCATAAAGGCGTTCATTGTCGGATGCTTTGACATTGGCAAGGGTGTCTTTGACATAAAGGGTCCAGAACTTTGGTTGGTACTTGGTGAACACCAAGTGTTCTATCCGTTGAAGCAGCACTTCAACGTAATGCTTTAGAACGCCGCGAAGAGGGCAGCATTAAGCTTGTAGGTATATTTGGCGGTTCAGAAACCCCCAGGAAACTACTTCGTTGGGCATTTCTGCATCATCGACAGATGAACTTCGACCTCACGAACGGCCCCTGTTAATACTAAAAAATAAGTTCACTTCCTCGGTTTAGCCCACTTCATCCGGTTCCAAATAAACCAGAAACGTCTCCGTTGAGAAAAGCTCCGCGTGAACGTAAAGGTTCTCATTAATTATGAGGTCATAAGAAAAGCCAAATGCTCCAGTAGTGGGACTTCTTGGTCAGATAAAGCAGTGGAAGCAAAACGGCCTCTTTTGAGACCATGAATAAAGAAATAATCGAACTCACTGGTCAATGGGTCCCAAACAACTGCGGTGCCTCCGGACAAACATCTACGGACTTAAAAAATTGCTGAGCCAAAAGAGCTGGTTTGAGGTGCTTGCGCGCGTGTAATGTGCAACTTGACGGCATGGCACGGCTGGGTTAAAATAAACTGATTTCTCTTGGCGACTCCTCAATAGACCAAAAAAACGTCAGATGTTTGCGGCTACCTTCAGTAATCTTTGAGAAATTCGCATGAGCTCATGGTTCGAACTGGTGTTAGCACTCATTAGCGGACATCGGATCATTATGCACACTGGCAGGAATCGGCATAGGCGATTCAGAAGGTGTCCCTTTCATCCAGCCGAAATGCTTGTCCGAACCACACCGGCTCACTACATGTCAATATGTGCGTATTCAGATTCCAATTAATATTTCTTCCCAACTGCAGTGGCCATGTTCCTATAAGAGAATTTTGTTGGCATTAAATAAAACCGGCTTATCACTCAAACCAATAAGTCAACACCGAAACCAATGAATTGCCCGGGGTGGCATGAATGCCATGGTATACCAAGCGGTAGTTCGCACCCGAAATCGAGTGAATAAAATTGCCCCACACGTAAGCATTACTAAACAAGACACGTAACGAATGCAAGCTGTTTCAGACAGCCAGTGCTATTCGTAAGAGAAAATTAACTTACAGTGTCATATGCAGAAGAACCTCAAGCATACAACTCTGTTCCATGGGATTAGCGATGTTCGCATGGAAAAGTAGACAGAGACTACCACAATTGTTGAACAAATTGTGTTCAACCTTGTTCCAGGGTCCGATGATGTTTATCAATCTGCCTTTTGAATGTAAGCTTCAAATGTAGGACCCAGTTATGATAAACATAGAAAACCATCCCATTCCACATTTCCCGTGACAGAAGTCGAGGAAATCGTTCCTTCGCATGCCTTTCAGTCCAGTTTAAGTCACTCCCTTATTGAGTTTCTTCAATTACAGACACAGTCTGAATCTCATAATTAGCGACTAGCCAAATAATTCAATTAATTTAAGGACAGCTGACCTTGTGAATTGCTCGCTTTTGTCTACTCTTCGGTTGGACTTGCAGTTATCCGCTTTACCTATTTTCAGCTTCCCACACCAAGTGTGTGTAGTTTGCGGTCGGCCTATCCTTGGACGGATGCACACTCAGAAGTCTCCTCGCCTCGCACTGCGATGATTGCAACGATGCCTTAGCAGACTTCCATCAGTTGCAGTCATTCACGACGACTTCGTACTCCATCGTCAAGGTTGATACTGACAGGCCTGCCCAGAAGTCACTCACTCACGCATACATCCAGGAGGTGGACGCCGGCGCACAGCCTTTATCGTATTTTCTTGACTGTCTTCTGTATGAAATACGTTGCCCCCAATTGTTGTCGTTCCACTTCTACTAGTAAGTGGGACTTGACCCAGGTATGCGGTAGTTAGGGCATTTCATTTGCTTTTTCACGCTACGAGAAAACCCTTAGTGTTGTGCACAAAATCATTCGGTTCATCCTCCGTTATCCTCCAAGCGCTTTGTTCGACTAAGGTGATGCTTTAGATCTCAGTCACCGCAGCCTCCTCATGGATCGATTATGCTCAAAAACATCCAAATTTTGGTGAGAACCCCACTTGGGTTGGAATATGGCGTGGCTCGACAAACTGTTCATTTGAATCCCAGTAAGGCGTTCCAAAAAGCTTAACGTCGGTTGTTTGTTGAAAAAAATAGATAATGAAAACAAGCGGAGAATGTTAGCGATTCGGTTAGGCCGTAAATGGCAGGAGATAAAAGAGTCATATCTGGTCGTTCCAGTTTTCGGAGTCTTTGTCAGGACTTCCAACCTTCTGTTTTCCTTGTTGGTATAGACTCTACCAGACCGATTACAGTAAGCAGGCCAGAGGTGGACATTCGAGTCTTCATTTCTTTATTTGTAAAAAACCGTTGCTAGGACATCATTGTGAGCTCGCATTGGCGCGACAACCCAGGAGATATAGCGCCTCAAAAATATACACCGAGTCCCGTGAGCTGACGCAGTTGCCACTGCCCAGGGACCGTTGACATCCGGTGCTTTGCTGTATGAAATATTGTTTAGGCAGCCTTCACACCCTCGTTATCATCAAGTTTCCTTCTGAGTATTTCTGCCGTAGTGGGGACTACCATTGAGACATGCCTGTTAGTAAAGAGTTATCAGGGGTTTGGTGCAATCAAGCCTGCCTCAAAACGGTCTGTGCGATGATGTCGACCAATCACAGCGCAACCTTGGCCTCCGGTCGAAAAAATCATTGATCGCTTCAGGAGCGCGAGGCGGTAGCAACAACTCAGAGTAACGTGCTGTTGGCATCTACTGCACGATTTTTCTGGGAGCGGTGCAAAGCGGCTCGCAAAAGACTACCCGGCGTGCTATTAGTTTTCAGAGCGAAAATGGCAAAAATTAGCACTAGTGAGGAGCAGCTACTTCAACAAATCGAGAAACTTCAACTTGTTGCGAGACTTCTCACATTTAGAGCATGCCGTTCGGAGGAGGTGAACAAAAAATCCGACCTGGCAGTCAAAAAAATGCAGCAGAACAAGGTTGTTCTCAAGCAGCAGTCCCAGGAAGTTGTTGAGGATCTTGAACAAGTCATCTTTGCTATCCTCACTTCGCTAAAATCTTTCCAGGCCGAAGCTCGTGCGACTTTATTTGCGTTGCAGACGCAACTCCAAAATTCGGAACGAACTCTTCTTGAAGCGAATGAGACTATCAAGACGCTGACGGCCAAAGTTGATGGTTTGGAGGCAAATTTGGCTGAAAATCGCAAAATTTTTGAAATCAGCCTGCAAGCCATTCATATAACCTATGTCAACTGCATGGAAAAAGTTTTCGAACGTCTTCAGGGCTTAATTCTGACGGACTTAGCCGCTCTAGAACCTGTAAACGACGAAATCCATGAAACCTATACGGCCAAGTTTAAGAAGCTCCGGCTGCCCTGTTCTTTCGATTATATCTGAACAAGCGGAATCGGAAAGGTCAAAGTGAGGAAAGATGAAAAGAGGGAAAATAAGGAAGCATAAGCAACAAGGCAATAGGACGAAGGAATTAAGTGTAAAATCTGAGATTTAGCACGATGAATTCACGGACTAGAAGCAGGATATAGACTTTTCTATGGATACTTTAATATGGTATCTAAAAGTACTCGTATGCTATAAATTGCTTTGTTTTGTATTATAATCTAGAGGGGGACTACAAATGTTAACAAATCCCGCGTTCAAAAGGGCTCTGAGAAACATCCATCACCTTACGATAAATTAATTTTCTGACAGATTGCTACTGAAAGCGTTGTTAATGGAAAACTTCGCAACTGCTTAGATGATAAAAACTAGTGTCCAATTAATATGTAGCCAGGGCTGCTTTTTAGGTACGAAAAACTTTGGCGCCGATGGGACGAGATTCCGGCTCAATTCCTTCGGTATCGGAAATGAAAACAAAATAGGGACGATCTATGACCCAGAAGCCAGCCTCAGTGGCCCATTCGGTCCACAACAAAACTATGACCCCTAGAGGCCAGCAGCAAAACGCCGACTTGATTGTCATTAAAGTCGAAAGTGGATATCGGAGCATGCCGTCCCAGGAACATCGTGTACAAATGAAGTCCAAATTGGTTAACGGCAGCCGCTTTAATTTAAACGGCACCTCCACCCCAGCGGAAATAAGCAAAACTTTCCAGGAGGGATTTCGACCCTATTCCAGCTAAACAAGCTGTCGATTTCATTGGAAGAAATCAAGGATCGCAGTTTGATAAATAGATGTACAACAGGGACTACACCGGGCACGTTAAGATCCACTGTAAGTAGCAACAGAAAATCTGCGAGACGCATGTTCGGGCTCCACTGCAGTAGGTGAGTTTGTAGTACGACAAACATTACACTGCTTTGCGCTGAGGTCAACAGCATCAAAATCAAGTGCTTCCGTGAGCATTAGAACCTGTTCTGACTGTCCACTCCGTCAAATTTAGTTCAATTTCAATAAGATCAATCCCAATGACAGAACGAGGCGATTATAGAAAGCGTGCCGCCAAGCGAAGTCGAACCACCGAATTAGTGGTCTCACGTTGAGTGATCGGCCGTTGGACTACGTATGACGCGATTTCCAATCAAGTGACTAATCGGTGTTTCGTCATGCCTGACTTACAAGGCGAGCCTACTGTAGTCAGAGCTACGTTTCTGCCGCGTCTCTAAGATAGATTTCTTAGACAAAGAAGGTATATACCTGAAACAAACAAAACTGGCATTGGTCATAGTGCCGGTTATAATATCGTTTATGATAGAAGGACATCCGGAGTAGGAATATAGGAAGGTCGGTATTTTAATGTTGTCCAATGCATGATTTCTGGCTGCGTAAGTCGATATTGCGGAGTCTGTCATTAGGAATTCTTTAATTATTGAGATTGAGAAATACGTCAAAGCCGCCTGTTACTATTAGCCGAATCTCCGTTGACACAATTAGTAATCAATGAAAGAATGCCAAAACGAAGGCCGCAGCTATGGAAGTCTTAAATGTGAAATTCACATACAGTTGAGGTCATAAGAGGGCTGGGCATGGAAAAGGTCAATGTCCTATCTAACTGCATTGCAAATTTTAGAATTAGTCGCAGTAGGGAGGGATTCAGATCTAAGGCCTTCCGGCGTGAATGAAGTATGGCTGTTTGGTGGCGACAAATAAGTCAGAAGTAGCCACTTAAGTGAGCATTTACTTTATACGTAGAAATCCACCGAGTTAGACCTGTACTAGCCTGCATAGATAGTAGTCACTGCCACTTCATGTGGATTGTAAATTGTACTGTTCACCAAAACTGCTATCTTGGGACCATGAATACTTAGTTCTCTAGTAGTCCGATCTTGGTTTTTTACGAAATCTAGCCGGTGAGTATCGTGCCAGATCGATAATTACCCACCTAAAGAACAAATCCCAGAGGTGAAGTTTTTTGCTACAGAATTGCAGGGGCGAAGAGATTGCGACGTCCTATCCGTATGCATTTTTTAAGTAGTAAGGGTCAGGACCATGGTTAACAAGAAACAAAAAGACGGTATTGTAGTTTGCGTCTAGTTGTGCTGTTTATTAAAACATGATAGGTCTTGTGCCATAATTCAAAAATGCGCCCTAGGATAGCTGTAAGTATACAAGCTCAGAGGGGTATAAGGAACATCAAATGCGACACGGAATGGCAAAGTTCGATTGTTAAAGGTCTACAAGACGGTGCCGTTCGTCAATCTCGAGTAAAGACATTATAGCCCTTTTTTCGCAGAGACTATACAGTACCCGCCTGCCATCGGCAGCCGCTGACTCTGATGAACTTGACCCCTAGTCTCACAAAGAGGTAGAGCAAGGAGCCAAACGGTGAAATTCGGGGGAGAAAGGAGAGTTAGCGAGTTGTTGGAATTCATAGCAGAGCACATGTTAAAGGTTCAAAAAAGACATTAAGGGCAATCATTTCTGACGTTTTTTGACCGCAGTTTTGAGGTCGCCTGGCACAACCACCAGAATAAAATGTGCTCACGCACTGAGAGGGACAAAAAAAACAAATGGATAAGGAATGAACAGAAAATTCTCGAGCCGACTGTCAGTAGGCCTTTGAAATGCAATAATGCAGGAGAAAATATCACCGCGCGAGACATCGGGACAAGAGATGAAGAACAAAGACGGTAATGTTTTGAGCGTGATTGTTGTCCAAACTCCCAGGAACTTCTCGAGGAGACGGAGAGAGAGAAGGGAAACAGGAGGGGCTGGACAACATGAATTAATTGCTTCCACGCAGTGAAGGATGGCCAATCAGGAAGTCCGCAAGAGTTCCGCTGGGAAACACCGGGGTTGACTTTGAGGTGGCAGTTGAGGCGTCACTATTCGTGAAATCCTTTTCTTCGTCATCTTGGCTGTCCCCCTCCAGGTCCATGTCAGAATCGGAATTCCGGGGTTCATTGTCGGTTCCGGCACTGCACAGGGAGCCATCGGAGGTAAAAGAGGATTTCGCAGGCGGCGGCGGACTGGACAGTCGAGGTCTTTTAGGGTTTTGGGTTTTATGGCGCTGAAAGGCAGCGGTACCAGTGCAGGACTCCGAGGAGGACGATGAGGGTTTTGAATTATCCTCTAGGCCATACGCTGGAGCGTCGACAAAACGATCCACCAATTCCTCGTCCCAAGTTTCAAGTTGGTTCAACATTTTATCGATATATGGCTGCTTGTACCGCCTTACAATGACTGAACGCTGGAAGTCCAATTGTTTAAAGGTCTCTGTTAACGGCATAGTATATAATAACATTATTAGAAGACAAGAAAGAAATAAAATTGGTCTATGCATAACTTGTATAATAAATTCAAGCATTATTGTAGGTGCAACTTCCTCGGTGAACGTAATGGACGGCAACTGAGCCACGGCTGCCAGCTACGCGCACTGCGGCGTGTTCTTCGAAAAACTGAATAGGGTGCTTATCACAATCAACAAATGATTGCCTAAGATGGAGGCTGGTTTTGTTTGCAGAAAGCAACAGGCGAATACTCAAGACATGTCTACAATGAGGGGGCATATTGACGCAACGACCGTGTTGAGTTTAGTCAATATCATCTTCAAATATTGAAACCTACGACTCAAAATTAACCTCTGGACAGATCAAAGGATCACTACATAGCTACCTGGCATGCTAACATACACTTACATGGTTGATGAAAATGAGCGACATCCGTCAGACACGTTCAAGACAATAAGAAGTGCGTTTCGGTCTGCGAATCGGCCAATTCCGACGTTTATTTTAATTCGCAGCTTGTAGGCGTAGGGTAGCGCCCGTAAAAAGTGTTGCCGAAAAACGTTAGGATAATGTAATGGTTTATTAGCCATCATTACCGAGTGATACCTAAAACTCGGGTTCGTGCACGCCCGAGATCCGAACCACATATACACCATATACACTTAAGTTACGGGACCCGGCTTCTGTCAGCACCGATATTTACCTAATTCGCACATCTACCTTAGGTTGAATGAACGGCGTTCCCGACTTAAATGCAATAATTGGTCTGACTCAGTTGTGGAAAACCCGACGACGTCGATTAAATTCGAACCTACTGCAGTCAAGGCTCTAAGCACCTGAGCCACGAGGTCCCGGTCGAGAGCTGTGAGTTTAGTGGAATTTGGGTGAGATGAATTATCTAAGTCTGCCAAAAACATATTAACTGAGTCTGGTGGTCGACTGGTGGATTTTAGATCGATTGTTCAGGAAATCTTGCTTGAGTAGTCAGCTTGATGTATCAAAATTTGTGGACTTCATACGCCGCAGTAGGTTGGGCGGGCCACTTGACCCAAAACGTAATCAAACTCACGGCGTCGCAGAGCAGGTGGTTAAAGCGTTGGCCATACTCAAGCCTTATCCCACCGAGGTCGCCGAGTTCTACACAAATGAGTCAGATGAATTATTCAAATTTGCTTAAAGCATCTATTAGACACAAATGCCAAATGCCATAGGAATTCGGTCGATGCAACGGTCGTCCTAAATAAAGCTCTCTGTTCAGCACTTTTAACTCGGGACTTATCACATAGGTGTCAAGTTACCAAAAGAAAATCCGGCCGCTGACTGTAAAATATGAAGATCTTCAATAATGCGTTCGGTTAGATATAAAAGTTGTCATTTCACCTTGGTGGGTTTCAAGGGCAACCTTGGCAGCCTCCATCTGCGCGCACTGAACCGATCGGCCTGTCCCAACGGCAAGACGAACACCGCGGAAGAATACACCGACACGGTAGATTCTCTGGTTGCTGGGTCCACTGTGATCAAGGACCTAATAGGGTATCAATCGAAAAAAATCAAAATTTACAGCCTACAAACTGAAAGGCGGAAATAAGGACACTGTCAATGAAAAGACGCTTGCCGCAGAGCAAAGTTGGAGAGCGGACTTCGCTCGTCCCACATCCAAACGCCCTATCTCCAAACTATCGATGCCCTCTCTATCAGTCGACCTAACAAAC